GTTATCGATCGATCCCTTCGTGCCCTACGTAACCCACTGGTACACTATATATCCATCACTCCACATTGTTCTTCTTCGACCACATGTAGAAACTTTAAGATGGACGATTTGCTTCGCGATGCCATAGCAAATCTACAAACTTGTCATTTTTTCTGGTTCCGAAAATACTCAAGAACTGTAAAACTGTTATTGCGAGTTAAAACTATATATCATTCCAATTGAAGAGAGATATAAGATAATTAGCGTGCAAGGAAATACTGGAAGATTCAAAGCAATCATCAAGACCACTTTCCACAAATAGGAAGTATTGCAGAATGTCCGTCCACTAGTAATATCACTGTATTATATAGCCCGGCCACTATATATTTCACTGGATATGTATATATACTAGTATATCCAAATCTTATTGCCTCATTCTAATATACACAAACTAGCTAATTACTAAGAAAAATATTACGAATTGATACTATAAAGGAAATATCATGGAAATAAAGACTTTTAATGTTTTATGCTACGCTCAAGTATGTTTTATAATATAAAATTATTTTTTCCCAACGACGCTAATCTAGTAATCATAATCTGTCAAACACCAATGTCCGGTTGTGAGAAACATTACAACGGTATACACAGTTAAACCATACACATAAATGCGCAAGCAAGCATGTGTTTGCTCTCTTAGTCTTTCTAACCAGGAACTCTACGCTCGTGATAAACTTTCAGCGATCATAAAAAATTGCAATGGCAACCTCGAAGTAGTAATATAGGTACCGTTCGACCCTTATTTTTGTGGTGGTGGAGTGTGGTGGATTTTGCAAGACCTTTAAGAAATATATTCAGTCCAGGCGGTTCTGGAATTTCAGTATTATATGGTAAAACAGTATGTTGCAAAAGATCTACAATATTTGTTCCACGTATATTCTGTCCTATGTATACAATTAATTTTCCCCTTGAAGATTCCATGTGAGAATATCCGTGGATGTGAGAATGCAGTGAATAAGTTCTTCCGCTTTGTTTTTATCAACATTATCTTTTCTTCCGCATTGTTTTTATCAACATTATCTGAGGCATAACCGTCAGGAAGGACAAAGCAAGCGTTAACAAAAAAATAATATTGTCAATGTCATACTCAAACGTGTGTGTGATCATAATAAATGGTTTTATATAGATAATAGTAACATTGGCAACACTTGTCTAAATAGACGTGGCCTGCATTTAAATCGGAAGGGTAGCAGTATAATTAGCAAGAACTTTAGTAATTACTTAAATGCTTGAAATACGGCATGGCCAGGTGGTTCAGATGTAGATTTTCCCGATATTAAGGGCATGAAAATGGGCATGCGAAATATAGACTGTTTACCCAAATATATAGATGAAATTAGAGTTCTTCTAGCCGACCAATATTTTGATATTCTTGCACGCGAGATCGTCTCAAACTCCTCGCTATAAAGTTTGTACCTACCTACCTAAGTGTCCAAGTATATCTTCAACGCGCCAATTTCTCGGAAATGATCTTTCCTTGCTGTCCATGGTTGGAATAACGAT